TAATATAATTTAAGAAAAAAACCTATTATAAAAAAATAGGCAGTATTTGTATCGATTCTATAGAATGTTTTTATTTGACGATGTAAATATGAATGACCCTTATAATAATTATTTAATTTTTATAACAATTATTTTACGAATCAAACTTATTATATAATATTTTAAAATTTTATAGTAACTTTTTATATAGATCAAAATAGAATCAAAAAATATTATCTTATGGTAATTCGGGGTACAAATTATATTTATAGGAATTTGTGATTAATGACAATGTAAAAGAGATTTTTTTAACCATCTATTTGATATTTTTTAAAGATTTTGTGATATCAGTATCAATTTCTCAATTCGTTTCACCTTAAAACATTGACTTAAATTTTGTTAAGAATCTCACCAGAAAGAGAAAAAAAAATGAAAAAATACATTTACATTAATAAAAAAAAGGAAAGAAAGAAGTTAAATAACAAGAAATTGGAAACTCCCATATTTTGCATTGCGGAAATGGTGTTTGTGTGGAATAAAGTCAAATTCCTGTAGAAGCTTAAAAGGATGAAAAAGAAAGAAACCCATTTTCTTATTTATATTTTCCTCTGAAATCAAAATAAAAATCTCACTCCAATAACCAAGCTTCCGTCTATTGTTTCCTATTGTTTCTTTCCTCTATCCATATTCAACTTTCCTTTTCTTCTTCCAAGATCACATTTTTCTTTGACCCTTTTGCTCCCTCTCTGAAATTCCCCTCTTCACCCACTTCCCCTTTAAGTCAATTTCATGTTTCTCTGTCTTAGATCGTAGATCTTGCTGTCGGTGGGTTGATCGGAGTAGATGTCGCCGTCAAACGGGTTGCAGAACGGCGGCGGCGGAGGCGGCGGTAATGGGTTGAGTTACATAGAACACCAGGTTTCAAAGTTTGACACTCTTGCTGGTGTGGCAATCAAGTATGGTGTTGAGGTAATTTCTTCTCTGTGCTTCTTTTGGGTTCGGACTTTGAATTGGTTCAGGCATGGTAAAGTTGGTTGCTTTTTATATTTGTTGTTTTGGGTCATGTAGTTTCTTTTCTTCTTTTTTTCTAGGTGTGCTAAATTGTATTTTTTTTTAGTTTAAGGGTTTTAGATGTATATGAACAAGAATACAAGATAAAGATTTCGTGTGTTATGATTTAGTTTTCAAGATTCTCTGTATTTTTTGGAGGGATTGAGGTTTGTGTTTGTGTTTTGTTTTTTACCCTTTCGGGGTAAGCTAATCTGACACAACCTTCGGAGTCAAGTGCCTCAGTTTTTCCTCTAATCATTAGTAATGCCAATCGGGAGAGTGTGTTAAAGGGGTAAACCTTATACTGTGTATGGTTCTTCGTTATTTGGGAGTATTTAATCCGCGATTACTTCGTGGTGTTTCACTCTCCACTTTTAGGATGTTTTTGGTGATAAATTGAAAGATTATGGATAGGAAAATAAGGACAGGAATGAATGGTTCTCAGTTTTGACAGCTGTTTTATGGGAGAAAAGTTGGGAAATTGGGAACAAAGAATTTATCCCCTATCATCTTATGAATGCTTTCATTTGTTCTTTGCATTGGTTAGATCTTTACATAGTTATAGTTTGCCAAACACTATATGAACGTAATGCATTCTTTTTTAGAAATGTCTTTATAAGAGACACAGGTGATATCGTATGGCATGGAAAATCACAATTGTATTGACTGTTTTTTGAGATGTCTTCACCTCACTCTGAATTACATTAATGCTCTCTGATAAAATGGTACTGAAATCTTCTGATAAAATTTCCTTGTAATGATTTAGGTAGCTGACATCAAAAGGATGAATGGCTTAGCCACAGATCTTCAAATGTTTGCACTGAAGACATTGAAAATTCCATTACCAGGACGTCATCCACCATCTCCTGCTCCTGGTCCACAAGATGAACCTGCCAAGTCGGGGTACTTTAGTTGTACTCATTTCAGTTTTTTTTTCCTTGTCAATTGCAATATTTAAATGCTTTTGTAATAACTTTGCAATATCTTCTATGATATATCTTGCAATTACAATATATCTTCCTTCCCTAATTTGTTAATGTAGCATGTTGTGTATATTATAGAACAATCTACTCCTTTTAGATTTTGACAGCAGTCCTTGCCCCAAACTTGAAATTACAAGTGCTAATATTTTAAGTGCAGTGAATGAAATAGCTGAATAATGAAGTCTAGATTGATTCTTAGAATTTGTTGCAGATAACATAGCTTCACCAGCCAGTAACTTTGATTTATATTTAAGACCCTGTGCTGGATTATGGAAACTCATTTTTAACTGAAACTCATTGCAGAGATTCTAGCGTTGAGAGGAAACCCGTACGCATAGGTCAATCTGCCATGAAGGAACCTCTCCTGTCCTTACGACTGAAACCTCCTCAACCAAATATTTCTCCAGCTATGAGCATTTTACAGAAATTCTATGGCCTCAAATCCTCAGATTCTAAAGACACATTCAATGGAACAGAAATGGCAGTTTATACACCCGTGAGTTCTGATCATTCTAGAGGGGAATGGCTTCCCAAAGCTTCTCCAATTTCAGACCTTCCATCAGCAACAAATGATTACCCCAAGTCAACAAATTTAGTCTATGATCTACTGACAGGGGATGGTGATTACACTCCTCTTGCAGAAATTGTGGACGGTGTATCTGAGAAGTCTGATGAGAAATCTGTCCGAAGACGTCAGAAAGCTGAAGTTGATAATGGAGCCACTACCCCAGAAAAGCTTTTGAAAGAAGGAAATGGCAATGGATCAAATGGTTTTTCTTCAACCGGAAAAACATTAGCCATGAGGCCAAAATCGGCTAGCCGAGCAGCACTGTTTCCTGATTCAGAATCAGGATGGTTAGATTCAATTCCAGTGGGGTTGGGAGAATCTATATTCACCGATGCCCTTTCTGGTGTGCGCAAATCATCCAGTGCATCAAGCCTCAGAGAGCAGGAAAGGATCAACTCAGCAACAGCCTGGCCGCCGGCAATATGGAACTTGAAACCAGACTTGCAAGCAGCCATTTCCAAGCCTATCTTTGATGGTTTGCCTATTCCAATCACTGGCCGCAGAAGCAAAGCTGCCCTTGATTAGTGTAAATTGATTCCCTTTTGAGCAAATTATTTTTTGACATTACATGAACATAAATTGCAACAGATGCACAACTGCTTCAGGTTAGTAAGCCTGAACAGAAGGTAAAGAAGAAAAAAAAAAGGAAGATAAAACAAGATTACACAACTAGGATATTTATTTATTCCATGCCTAGGAAGGGGTAGATGACCTCCTAAGGAGAAAAGTTTCAGCAGTAAGAAACTGAGTAAAAGGTGCTTGAAAATGCTAAGCAACTGGTTTTTCATGTGTACCAATAATGTAAATCGGTCAATCCCACCTGGGTTATAAAGAGTTATTTACATATTGATAATTTCCTTTGTTAAAGTGAAAGTCACTCTGTTCAGTGGTTAACTGTGTCATGTTATTATTATTGAATACATTATGTAAGTATTTATCATATTTTTTCTTCAGACCAATTATACTGCAATAGGGTTTAATTTGTTTAAACCATGTTTACAGGGTTACTTTACTGCAATAGGATTTGTTCTTTTACCCTCATTCATATATCTAACATGTGGGTGTATTCCGTTATCTGTTATAAGCAATGAAGCTCTTCATCTTATGTTGATTATTTGATTCTGTGATTCTGCTATTTCAAAATGTATATAATGAAAATATAAAGCTCCATGAAGTGGTCCATCCAATCATGGGCACATGGTACAAGATCTGTTATCGTGTTCATACGCAAAGTATGGTGGTTGCGTTTTTCACATAAATGTACATTATTAAAGTTGTGATGAAACGAGTAAAGAAAAAGTGTTGAATTGAAATTAAACAACGTGTGATGAAGGGATTAATTAAGTCACATGCGTGTTCCCACTTTCTATTACACAAGATAATGACATAGGCACATGGCCTAATCACATTACCGACACGCACACAAATATTATCATTGCTGAAGTTTAAAATGGGTGGCTATGATTTTTTTGATTTTGTTTTTTCGTAGGAAATGTTTTACAAAGATTCTGTGTCAAACAAGCCATCACATTCCATGTCTCTAATCCTTTCACTCCCTCGATTCCTTTTTACTTTCCAGTGTATATTTGACAAACATCTCAGATTAATTTATTATAGGAATTTCTAGTTTATAGATTTAAAATGCTTGACATATCTTCTAATTTTAGCTTATTTAAATTTTCTCATTATTGTCCTATATATTTTAATACATTTTTTATTGTTTTTAACTATTTATATATTATTAATTTTAAGTTTACAGATACAATTAATTAATGTAGTATTTATACTATTTATTGATTACCGTTTAAGTTTTACGCCGTTCAAATTAAAAAAAAAAGTCTAACTCTATAAATTTTATTTCATAATGCTACATGAAAACTAAATACAAAAAATATTAAAAAAAAGGATTAATTTAAATAAAAATTAAATTTAAAAAATATCTGTTAGATTAATTCATTTAAACAAAATGAATTACGCAAATAAAAAAAATAGACAACTTTCATGGTAAATATTTTATCGTAAGAAAATATAAACAAAAATTAGTTATTTTAAACGGAACTAAAGTTGTAATTATATAAATATGTACTTTTTCAAAAAAAACATACAATTTTCATTTATATTTATCATCTAATTCATCCGTTAATTTACTAAACATTTATAATCTATCAAATTAACTTACTAATTTGAAACTTATAACCTATAAGCTTATTAACACTACTCAGCATAACAGACACCAATTAGCTTAACAGTTAACTTTGCCACGTTAAACCTGAAAGGGGGGAAAACATCAACTCACGATCTATTATTTTAAAAATGAAAGTTTACATTATCCTGTTTCCTTCATACAACGTAGTATTTATATATTTGAAACTAAATATTAGGCTATTAACCATAGCAGAATGATTTGTTTGGCTCGGTTCTAAAAGTGGTATTACGGCAATATTGTATAATCTGTGGCAAACATGTGACAACAAGCCAATAAGTTAAGTTGGCAGTAAGTCATAAACTGCAGTAAAGAGAAACAAAATCCACAAAATGAGCTCAACTAATTCTACATACTTCAAAAATGGTCCAGAATCTGTAAACAGATTTTCAACGCTCAAGTTCACTAGAAAGCTATCATTTCCCGCGGAGAAAACAGTCTTTGTTTTTTGCATTTTTTGGGCATTTGGGGATGGGAGATTAGAGTTACCATCTGTTTTTAGGAGGTTTCACTTTATAAATACGAACTATCCAATTCTGTGTAGTGAATGCCTCTTCCAAGTACTCCAGCTTTATGTCCTTATTTCCAATTTCAACACCTCTAGCGCGATCATATCTGTCATTGCATCAAACAGAACATATTAACACGCATACACACAATACTATAACATAATCTTAACCTACATTGGATGAGTAAATTATAAAAAAGTAAATAGACTTATCGAAGTCCAAAATCTTAAAACATAATTTGGATATTTTTAACGAGTGTAATTTCCATATAGCTAACTAATCAAAGTAGCTTAGCTTCTTCATTCCCATTGTCAAAACCACTAATGTAAGGACACCTAGAGTTTTTGGAGTCTTTGTAAATATTGTACAAACAAGAGCCATGGAACTTACCCAGGTGGCTTTCCATATTCTGTTGTCAACTCCCCAAACCGATAATAGGATAGCTTGTACCTAAGAATCATAGATAAGAAAAATATAATTAAATTCAACAAGTATTAATTCATCAAGTGCCTACGATGCAAATACCAGCAAATATTATCCTGAACTTGAAGAATATCCTTTCTCCACTCTTTTTAATGTGCTTAAAAGAACCTGATTCGCACTGGGGAAACAATAGGGTAGCATTTTCCCTTACTTTTACTTTAAATATTACTAATTGAAAACAGTTTGACAGTTACTTGGGGTTTTGGGATTCTAAACAAAAAATTAAAAAAAAAACACTCCTTTTATGGTAAGAGCCTCTACAAAACATTGTTTTGCACAACTTCTCTTTTTAAGGAAAAGAGAACCCAAAATAAGGTAAATCAAATAATACCTAGGCAAACCCAAATTCCCTGGTCATAGACTGTTTACAAATTTCAACCTATAAACTTCTGTGGCCCTAGAGGACACGTGTCAACACTTAATTTTACTCCATGATTTCATCTCGTCAATTTTAGTCCATAATCCTCTATTTTACACCAGAACCCAAACACAGACTTGTAGTGCTAAACTAGTAATGCTACAAAACTTACATGAGACAGTTCAACATCTTCGGAGCAGCTCCTTTATCTACTCGATATTCTCCATTCACAAGGTAATCAGGTTCCTTTATCACAGGAAAAACTCCGCCACCAATTCTCACCATCCAAAGAAATCTACACAAAATTTAGGAATATGTTTTAAAAGTATTGAAAGTGTTATTGCAGAGAAGATACAGAAATACTAGCACTGTACAAATTAAAATAAGAAACATAAAAATCAGAAGAAAAACTGCAATGTTAATATTTGGGACATACTGAATAAGTGTATATACTTACATCTTCAGACAGGAATAAAATTTTATAACAGAAAAATCTAATAACATACTATCTAAGTTCGACCAGTGAAACCATTACAAACCTAGAAATATTTGTGCATGCCAAAACAGGAAAAGAATTAAAGCCATAATTGGAAATATATATGAATCAAGTTTTCCTAGTTCATGTTTCAATCAAAATGGGCAGCCAATCTGCACAAACTTCATGATGGTGTATATAATTTTTTATTTTCTAGAACATATGAAGGCTAGTACGCACTACTGCTATGAAAGGGGAAGGTAAGACCCACAATAAAGAATAAGGACAGCCTAAAGGCACCAACTATTAAGTCTGAAAAATAGAGGAGTAATGCTACCTACAAAATACGGGTGGCTTGAGCTAGAGTGACAACACTTAAAACATCTATATGGTTTATTAGCTTTATCCCAAAAAAGAGGTGAATGCACACTTTATAAAAAAACACCAAGTAACTGTTTTATGCTTAAGCATATATATACTCAACAACTCTAATGAAGCCACCTGTATGAGAAAACCTCTGAATGCAAGAATTTTCTATTTAGTGTTTTTCATGAAAAAATGGGCACACACATTATGTAAACATGGATGCAAAAGCAAAACAAAATACTTAATATGGTCTTACTTATTAATATCATCTGAAGAATAACCAGTAACACCACCAAACACGACTAATACATAGTCAACATCAAGCGATCTCATTATCTCATAAGCCTCATCCTCATAGGATGACATTGCTCGCCCGACAGTAGCTATGTGAGTGTTGTTCCAGGTGTTATTGTCAACAATTACAGTTCTGTTCCCCATGGCAGTGATTTGATAACCGTAATCCCACCACGACATCACTTTGGCATCTGGTGGAGTGTTCTGTCGAAGCCAAAAGTATGCTTCACGATAATCATCAAAGATGACCCTTTGGCCATGAGCACCCCTCGCAGCCAAGACAATTGAAGGAGATGAGTAAGCCTCTGATGTGACCCAAGTGCAGTGAATAGCATATCTACTCAGCAAATAGAAAGCACCAAGGAGTAACACAATTGCACCATTCCTTTGGAAAGGCTGGGAGTTGTCAACTACACCCTAAACAACAGCAATTATACACCTATTATTAAGTAGTCACATCAACATTCACTGTAACATTAAGAGACAAAAATACCATTTCATACAGTATTTAATATCAATCTGAAAAAAGATAAACAGGTGAAGTTACATTTAGTTTTTGTGAAAGAACATAGCAATTACCATACCAGCTGTCTGGTGCACATTGCCATTTTAGTAATTATTTTGGTTGAAATATACCAAACGACAACAGGTTCTTCTTTCTTGTAATTAAAGAAATGAAAGCAAGTGGATAAATTAGAAGGATAGGTACACTCTGTACTGGATTAGCATGTGAAAATAAAGGAGAGAGACTTTCAACACAATGGAATGCAACTCGTCTGAAGAAGCCTTTCACTAAATGAGCTACGAAAAGAATCTAACCTTAGAAGAACTTTTTGCAGTGCTAGTTCCTTTAGTAGATCCACTTTGAACAGCTGGGCTCTTGGCCCTCACCACCCGTGTTAAATTTTTTATTGTGGCAGAAACGGCAATAGCACTAATGAGGCACACAGCAGGGGTAGCAACAAGAATCAACCGAACCATAACCCCAGCAAAATACATGCTTGTAAGACCATACATAACTAAAAAGATTGTGGCATCAGACAAGCGCTTGAAACAAAAATAGAGACCAGCAGGGAAAAGGAACAGCAAGATATGGAAATCAAACATGAAGGATGACCAAGCAGTTGGTTGATGCTCAGAGACAGATGCTATAATCGGAATGTGATCCTTGGCATAAGTTGGATCAAGCAAGGAGTAAAACCTCCCAGTCCATGGAGAAATATAACCAGACGCCATGCCCACTCCCAAAGCCACAGCACCAACAGCAACTGCACTGGTCACAGTGATCTTCAAAAAGGACTGAAATAGCTTGGTGTCACTAAGCAAATGCCTCACCCAATCCAGGAAGAAAAACACCTGCAAAAGACAACCAAAGTTATACACTAAGAGAAAAACAACTTCCATGAAAGCACAAAACTTAAGCGCAGTTCCTAATGTGCTTTCACTCGTGTTCTTTAATCAAGAACTAAAGCATCAATTTAGCCATCTATATTGGACATTAATGCAAATATTTACTATGTTACCAAAATTGAAATTCTAATTTTTACTGAAGAAAAAGTTTTAAATTTTGGTCACAACTCCATCATGAACCTTAATATTGCAGGAAAATGAAGCCATAATTGAGTGGACAATTCCCTTGTAATCCTATATTGCAGGAAATTGCAGAGAAATGCAGCATCATTCCCAAAAACTTTGATATTGTGGTTGAAATTGCAGTCACAAATTCCAAAAAAATCCTAGGCATTGCAGCTGAAATCGCAATTGCGGACCATCAATTGTAGCACTCAATCCCAAAAACCTTGACATTGCAAATGAAATCGTGGTTACAAACATTCTTCTAAAACCTCATCAAAACTAACTAAAGAGCTGCATCTAAATTTTGTCCAGGATAAAATCCTACACACATTTGTCCGCAATTTCNGTAAATATTTTATCGTAAGAAAATATAAACAAAAATTAGTTATTTTAAACGGAACTAAAGTTGTAATTATATAAATATGTACTTTTTCAAAAAAAACATACAATTTTCATTTATATTTATCATCTAATTCATCCGTTAATTTACTAAACATTTATAATCTATCAAATTAACTTACTAATTTGAAACTTATAACCTATAAGCTTATTAACACTACTCAGCATAACAGTCACCAATTAGCTTAACAGTTAACTTTGCCACGTTAAACCTGAAAGGGGGGAAAACATCAACTCACGATCTATTATTTTAAAAATGAAAGTTTACATTATCCTGTTTCCTTCATACAACGTAGTATTTTTATATTTGAAACTAAATATTAGGCTATTAACCATAGCAGAATGATTTGTTTGGCTCGGTTCTAAAAGTGGTATTACGGCAATATTGTATAATCTGTGGCAAACATGTGACAACAAGCCAATAAGTTAAGTTGGCAGTAAGTCATAAACTGCAGTAAAGAGAAACAAAATCCACAAAATGAGCTCAACTAATTCTACATACTTCAAAAATGGTCCAGATTCTGTAAACAGATTTTCAACGCTCAAGTTCACTAGAAAGCTATCATTTCCCGCGGAGAAAACAGTCTTTGTTTTTTGCATTTTTTGGGCATTTGGGGATGGGAGATTAGAGTTACCATCTGTTTTTAGGAGGTTTCACTTTATAAATACGAACTATCCAATTCTGTGTAGTGAATGCCTCTTCCAAGTACTCCAGCTTTATGTCCTTATTTCCAATTTCAACACCTCTAGCGCGATCATATCTGTCATTGCATCAAACAGAACATATTAACACGCATACACACAATATTATAACATAATCTTAACCTACATTGGATGAGTAAATTATAAAAAAGTAAATAGACTTATCGAAGTCCAAAATCTTAAAACATAATTTGGATATTTTTAACGAGTGTAATTTCCATATAGCTAACTAATCAAAGTAGCTTAGCTTCTTCATTCCCATTGTCAAAACCACTAATGTAAGGACACCTAGATTTTTTGGAGTCTTTGTAAATATTGTACAAACAAGAGCCATGGAACTTACCCAGGTGGCTTTCCATATTCTGTTGTCAACTCCCCAAACCGATAATAGGATAGCTTGTACCTAAGAATCATAGATAAGAAAAATATAATTAAATTCAACAAGTATTAATTCATCAAGTGCCTTTACATACGATGCAAATACCAGCAAATATTATCCTGAACTTGAAGAATATCCTTTCTCCACTCTTTTTAATGTGCTTAAAAGAACCTGATTCGCACTGGGGAAACAATAGGGTAGCATTTTCCCTTACTTTTACTTTAAATATTACTAATTGAAAACAGTTTGACAGTTACTTGGGGTTTTGGGATTCTAAACAAAAAATTAAAAAAAAAACACTCCTTTTATGGTAAGAGCCTCTACAAAACATTGTTTTGCACAACTTCTCTTTTTAAGGAAAAGAGAACCCAAAATAAGGTAAATCAAATAATACCTAGGCAAACCCAAATTCCCTGGTCATAGACTGTTTACAAATTTCAACCTATAAACTTCTGTGGCCCTAGAGGACACGTGTCAACACTTAATTTTACTCCATGATTTCATCTCGTCAATTTTAGTCCATAATCCTCTATTTTACACCAGAACCCAAACACAGACTTGTAGTGCTAAACTAGTAATGCTACAAAACTTACATGAGACAGTTCAACATCTTCGGAGCAGCTCCTTTATCTACTCGATATTCTCCATTCACAAGGTAATCAGGTTCCTTTATCACAGGAAAAACTCCGCCACCAATTCTCACCATCCAAAGAAATCTACACAAAATTTAGGAATATGTTTTAAAAGTATTGAAAGTGTTATTGCAGAGAAGATACAGAAATACTAGCACTGTACAAATTAAAATAAGAAACATAAAAATCAGAAGAAAAACTGCAATGTTAATATTTGGGACATACTGAATAAGTGTATATACTTACATCTTCAGACAGGAATAAAATTTTATAACAGAAAAATCTAATAACATACTATCTAAGTTCGACCAGTGAAACCATTACAAACCTAGAAATATTTGTGCATGCCAAAACAGGAAAAGAATTAAAGCCATAATTGGAAATATATATGAATCAAGTTTTCCTAGTTCATGTTTCAATCAAAATGGGCAGCCAATCTGCACAAACTTCATGATGGTGTATATAATTTTTTATTTTCTAGAACATATGAAGGCTAGTACGCACTACTGCTATGAAAGGGGAAGGTAAGACCCACAATAAAGAATAAGGACAGCCTAAAGGCACCAACTATTAAGTCTGAAAAATAGAGGAGTAATGCTACCTACAAAATACGGGTGGCTTGAGCTAGAGTGACAACACTTAAAACATCTATATGGTTTATTAGCTTTATCCCAAAAAAGAGGTGAATGCACACTTTATAAAAAAACACCAAGTAACTGTTTTATGCTTAAGCATATATATACTCAACAACTCTAATGAAGCCACCTGTATGAGAAAACCTCTGAATGCAAGAATTTTCTATTTAGTGTTTTTCATGAAAAAATGGGCACACACATTATGTAAACATGGATGCAAAAGCAAAACAAAATACTTAATATGGTCTTACTTATTAATATCATCTGAAGAATAACCAGTAACACCACCAAACACGACTAATACATAGTCAACATCAAGCGATCTCATTATCTCATAAGCCTCATCCTCATAGGATGACATTGCTCGCCCGACAGTAGCTATGTGAGTGTTGTTCCAGGTGTTATTGTCAACAATTACAGTTCTGTTCCCCATGGCAGTGATTTGATAACCGTAATCCCACCACGACATCACTTTGGCATCTGGTGGAGTGTTCTGTCGAAGCCAAAAGTATGCTTCACGATAATCATCAAAGATGACCCTTTGGCCATGAGCACCCCTCGCAGCCAAGACAATTGAAGGAGATGAGTAAGCCTCTGATGTGACCCAAGTGCAGTGAATAGCATATCTACTCAGCAAATAGAAAGCACCAAGGAGTAACACAATTGCACCATTCCTTTGGAAAGGCTGGGAGTTGTCAACTACACCCTAAACAACAGCAATTATACACCTATTATTAAGTAGTCACATCAACATTCACTGTAACATTAAGAGACAAAAATACCATTTCATACAGTATTTAATATCAATCTGAAAAAAGATAAACAGGTGAAGTTACATTTAGTTTTTGTGAAAGAACATAGCAATTACCATACCAGCTGTCTGGTGCACATTGCCATTTTAGTAATTATTTTGGTTGAAATATACCAAACGACAACAGGTTCTTCTTTCTTGTAATTAAAGAAATGAAAGCAAGTGGATAAATTAGAAGGACAGGTACACTCTGTACTGGATTAGCATGTGAAAATAAAGGAGAGAGACTTTCAACACAATGGAATGCAACTCGTCTGAAGAAGCCTTTCACTAAATGAGCTACGAAAAGAATCTAACCTTAGAAGAACTTTTTGCAGTGCTAGTTCCTTTAGTAGATCCACTTTGAACAGCTGGGCTCTTGGCCCTCACCACCCGTGTTAAATTTTTTATTGTGGCAGAAACGGCAATAGCACTAATGAGGCACACAGCAGGGGTAGCAACAAGAATCAACCGAACCATAACCCCAGCAAAATACATGCTTGTAAGACCATACATAACTAAAAAGATTGTGGCATCAGACAAGCGCTTGAAACAAAAATAGAGACCAGCAGGGAAAAGGAACAGCAAGATATGGAAATCAAACATGAAGGATGACCAAGCAGTTGGTTGATGCTCAGAGACAGATGCTATAATCGGAATGTGATCCTTGGCATAAGTTGGATCAAGCAAGGAGTAAAACCTCCCAGTCCATGGAGAAATATAACCAGACGCCATGCCCACTCCCAAAGCCACAGCACCAACAGCAACAGCACTGGTCACAGTGATCTTCAAAAAGGACTGAAAGAGCTTGGTGTCACTAAGCAAATGCCTCACCCAATCCAGGAAGAAAAACACCTGCAAAAGACAACCAAAGTTAGACACTAAGAGAAAAACAACTCCCATGAAAGCACAAAACTTAAGCGCAGTTCCTAATGTGCTTTCACTCGTGTTCTTTAATCAAGAACTAAAGCATCAATTTAGCCATCTACATTGGACATTAATGCAAATATTTACTATGTTACCAAAATTGAAATTCTAATTTTTACTGAAGAAAAAGTTTTAAATTTTGGTCACAACTCCATCATGAACCTTGATATTGCAGGAAAATGAAGCCATAATTGAGGGGACAATTCCCTTGTAATCCTATATTGCAGGAAATTGCAGAGAAATGCAGCATCATTCCCAAAAACTTTGATATTGTGGTTGAAATTGCAGTCACAAATTCCAAAAAAAACCTAGGCATTGCAGCTGAAATCGCAATTGCGGACCATCAATTGTAGCACTCAATCCCAAAAACCTTGACATTGCAAATGAAATCGTGGTTACAAACATTCTTCTAAAACCTCATCAAAACTAACTAAAGAGCTGCATCTAAATTTTGTCCAGGATAAAATCCTACACACATTTGTCCGCAATTTCCTCTAACATGAAGTATCCCATCAAAACTGTCATCACAATTTAAAACCTTGGTGGCGCTTACACTCAGAAACCTGGACATTGTAGCTGAAACCACAGCTACACATCGCCAATTATGGTGCAGTAGTCCAAATAAGAAAATAAAACCTTGACATTGTGGCCAATTCGCGAACCCGGACCCGGACCCTTTTTTCCAAAACTACCCAAACAACTGCCTCTATTTTTTGTCCCAGATAAAATCCTAAACACACATACACGGAAAGAGAAAAGAAACCAACCTGCAGCAAGAAAAACACACCCATTGACGCCATGTGCTCCCCGGACTGCACATGCTGGAACCCCACAAATCTAATCTGCATTGCCAGCAGCATCCCCAAGACATACATGCAGTTATACGCCACATACAACCTCAACGAGTACCTCCCAGTCACAAGCAGCACCAGCACATAAAGCGGCACTAAATTGATTATAAAAACGTAACCTCCCCACGCGGACACCATGTAGAAGTACCCAAACGCCGAACCCAAAGCCCACGCCAGCGACCCAGTGTTCACGGCCTTCACAAAGAGGTAAAAGGTCAGCAACAGCGCGAAGATCGCCACGCCCTCGTTGTCGTAAGAGCCAGCGACGGAGCGCGAGATGTACCCAGGACAGATCGCGATGAGCGCCGCGGCAACAATGCCGGCGCCGGAGTCCCAGACCTCCTTGGCAAAGAAATACGCGACGAGAGTGGTATTGGAGGCGAAGAAAGGGGCCGTGAGGACGCAGACCTCCCGGATGTGAACGAAGAGGCGGAGGAAGCGGAGTAAGGAGTGAATGGCAGCGGCGGTGAGCATGAGGCCGGGGTAAAGCGTGCCGCCGATGATGCGGCCGAGCGGGTACCAGGACTCGGAGTCGAACCAGTTCCAGAACTCGGCGAAGCCATTGCGAGTGAGGAAGAGCGTGGTGCGGTAGTTGAAGTAGGGGTCGAACTCGTGGATCATGGACTCATAGCGGAGGACGCTGAAGAGGCGCGTGATGAAGGCGAGGACGTAGATGAGGGCGAGTGTGGCAAAAAAAATGAGGAGCTCTCGTTGCTTGGTCTTGAGCTTTAGGGTTTTGGGGAGCGAGAAGGAGCTGATGGAGGGTTTGAGATCTTGAGCCATTGTTGAAGATTTGAAGGTGAACAACAATGGTGGAATTAGGGTTTCATGGAGAAATTGGAAATGGAATGACAGTGGATCTGAATCTTGTGACGATGGAATGAAGAAGAGTCAGAGTCAACGGTTTGTTGGAATGAAATCCAGAGTAGGGATTGGCAAAGAACAGATTCCAAACACTACCTTTGGGTTTGGATCCAAACTACACTGCACACACACATACACACACTCTCTTTCTCTCCGGTGTCACTGTCCACGACACTCTAACATATAACACGTGTTTTTTTAAAAGAAAAACCTAGGATTTTTTATTTTGGTACTTTGAGGTTGTTTACTCATTAATACACTGTTTTCTAACATAAAACACTCATTAAACTGAATGTGTGAAACTGTTTTTCTTTTTTCTTTCATAATATACACTGTGTATTTTATATTTATGAATGATTATCATTATTAAAATGGATTCTTTTTTATATTTATATTGTTTTCGCTTTCCGAATTTAAGCATAATTTATTGTGTTTGTTAACTATCTTTTACGTGAAGATGTTTCTAAGAAGGCAACATAGAATATGTTGGTGATACAACTGAAGAGAACCAAATTACTAGCAACACATTAAATTTATCAATGATTAAGTGATCGATTGGATTTTCCATTTGCAAAGTTAAAAATTAATTATGCTTAATTGTGATTGTTTAAGGTAAAAATGTGTAAAAACTCTATAAAATGTATACCATGATAAATATGAGTCCTTAATCACATAACCACTTAAGCATGGGAGTTGTACTTGTAATATGGAATTTTAATTTTCTTTTATTTTATTTACTTACATAGGCATAACTAATTGTGTTAATAAATTTGAAAATAAATGAAATGGTTAAAATTCTGTTTCTCGTATTTGTGTAGTATGAGCTAAACTTTTTGTTAGGATTCTTGCTTCACCTTATAAAGAGAAAATCATTCTAACTTTTGTCACAATCAACTCGACTTATCAAATATTATTACAGACTTATCAAATATAATTGTTTATGACGTTTTTTTTTCTATTATTATTATGATATCTTATCCTTATAGTCTTTTAACAAAATCTTAAAATTTAGTGTTATTATTCGTGTTAGTTTCTTAATTTTGATTCGAATAAATTCAGATTATATTTTTCAAAATACTACATATCTTTTGATAATTTATATACTTAAATTAAATTTTAGAAATGTGAGCAAATCACTAAATTTGAATTTCTGAGTTTAGCTCGATATATAACTACTAACTAATACACATTATTTAAATTTGGTTATAATATTAATTTAGTTTCTATTTTTTTTTAGTTTTGTAAATTTAATTCTATTTTTTAATAACGTTTTAATTTTTGTCAATTTAATTTAATTTAATTTTGTTTTTAACGTCGTTTAAATAATTAATGGACATAAATATTGTATGTTATATGTTAGTTTATAATTTATAATTTTTTTTAAAATTAATTTTATTTTCATTTTTTTAATTTAGAAAAACAAATAACTATTTGTCAAGTGAGTATTATAAAAAGTAAGTGACATATGTGTTAATGTTATGTGTTAATGTCTTGTATTTAATTCAAATTTTATATTTATTATTTTTATTCAATCCAGTTCTAAATTCACTTTATATAAAAATTAAATTTTATTTTAAATTAAATATAAGACACTAACATTCATCCACACTATGTGATACTACTGCTGTCATGACACAATACTAGTGTAACACGTGAATTTTCTTTTAAATTAAGAAAAATTTTGAAAAGTTAAAAATATATTTTTAAAAATAAAAAATATTAAAAATCACAAACTAATCCACTTTATGTTAATTATTCAAATTATGTTAACCAATAAAATATATTAAAATTGAATTGACAAAATGTAACAAATTTAACCTCTAAATTTTTTGTTGAATGCATTTATGGATTTAGATACACCATTCAAGAATTCCAGTAAGATAATTTTATCAATTTACATGAATCTTCACGAGGATAATATTGTTTAGCAATCAACACGCATCTACCTCTAGAGAAGATAAGTTCGTCATCACAGCTTAAATAGAGCCGTGGATGATTATAAAAGGAGCCCAAAAATGCATTGAGTTTCTTCTTGTATGATTCACACAAAATTGGCTAATACTTTCTTTTTTTTTTTCAAAAAGAAACTTTTCTAATTTAAAAATGTTTTATAAATTAAAATTTTAAACGATAATAATTCTTTGTTTTAGTAACATGTTTAAGTATAGGTAAAATAATAGAATGTAATATATTTGTTAACCATGAATAGAAAGTAAACCTATTACAAAATTTCGAAAACTAACTCAGATGGTCTAAAATGCAACATCAAAGTGATCATTGGTGATGTTGCCTGTTAGTGGATATCTAAGTCTAACTCTAATGTCTGTCATCGTAACAAAAGTGTCTCTATAACAACGCTACCACAAATTCACACAATTTTATCATAGGACATAACTGACTCCAAGGTTATAGACTAGACATTTAATTTTAAGTCAATTTAGTTGCCCGAAATTCATTGGCAGACGGTACGCGTTTACAAATCAAAGCAACGAAAACCGGAATTCAAAGAGGACGTTTCAAACTTCCGCAAATATAAAGCATCTTGAATTTTATTTTGGTGCACCTCTTCGTAACTTCCAAAACTAAAAAAGGGAAAAATAGCCCATCATTACCAATGGGAATCAAGAAATTTTGAACATGTTATAAATAATGTGCCCCAAAATGATTTGATGAAATTAAATCAACCCAAACTATTGCACCAAGCCCCTCTGCTTGAAAACGTCTAGCATGGCAGCTCCAATTTTGGCGGGGGATTCCACGACTGTCACCCCAGCTTCCCTGAGGGTTTTAATTTTGTCTTGTGCAGTGCCCTTGCCGCCCGACACAATAGCTATTTGTCATAGAAATGAAACAGAATAAATTAAAAGGTGATACTGCTTAACGGTTCCACTAAACATGTAATTTCCCATGCTAATTTCACTTTCAAAATGTAATGATATTTTTAACGAGACCTAGAGATGATTAATCACCCGAGGACCATTCAACCTACATGGTTATCATGCTGCCACTCGTGACATATCAAACACAGTTTTTCGAACAAGTGAAACAGAAGGAAGGTTACTATCAACAAAAACAGTTGCTTGTATACCAAACTAACAAATGCCACATTATCTAACAATTAGATCTACTTTCCATCAGTTAGAACCAAAAAATTGGGATTTCAAATTGAAATTTAGATAGAATAAAAGTAGCGTGAGAATTACAATTTTAATATTTGAATTATACAATATGTGTGTGTATTTAAATTGGATAATTAGCCATCTCTTTGATTTGCATTCCAGAACTATCGCAGGCCCCAAGGTGATTAAAAGAGTGGACAAAACTCCCAATTACTTCACAAAATACTATCTACCGCTCACGGCATAAAGCTAATGGAAACACTCAAAAAATAAAATAAAAAGTTACAATACAATTTTAGTCAGCATTATTTGATTATTTGAAAATACCAACACAAACTACAAACTAAAAAATTGGAAACCAAATGAGCAAGAAACAAAACATGCCCAAGAAGCTTGTCGCCTAATCATGATGAGTAAAGCAACATGCCAGAATGATATTTTCTCTCAGAAGCTATCAATTCCAAAAATGAAATCTTACCTCCAGCATGACCCATTCGACGGCCAGGAGGGGCAGTCAAACCAGCAATAAATGCAACAACAGGCTTCTCAGTGCCGCTTTCCTGTTCAGCCATTCATAAAATCAATTTAAAAACTCACAAATAGCCCTTTAGACAAAAAAGATAACAATGAGCACGTTTTACTGCTTTCTCTATAAAATGGGGTATTTAACATAAATATCACCAAGTAACTACTAGTAAGTAATAACCATTTAACATCTTGTCACCCAAAATAGGAGATTCACATCTACCAAGATAAGAATTTGAGCTTTTTTCAATAAGCAAATTTGATTTTTTTCTTTACATAGAAATGGTACATGGAATCAATGCATATCCTCTAATGATCTCTTTGCCCAGGTGTAGCTTTATCCATCCATGTACAGTTAAAGATTTTTAATATGCTCCATCATCTCGACTTACATTGTCCACAATATATGATCAAATAAATAATTTTATACCTAATGACAGTTGAATTGATTGAGGGTAGGGTCCCTTCCCCACAAGACAGACAAAGTTATTTTGATTTATAGGATACAGATAAGTACTAAAAGAAATGAATCTATGCATCAGTAACAGTTAAAAAGGAACCTTAATTAGTGCAGCAGCATCCTCTTCCGCAGTTCCTCCTATCTCTCCTATAAGAATTATACCTGACTTGCACAAACAAACAGTAACGATAAATTACAATGTCCCATTAACCTTACTAGAACACTTGATAGGAAAATAAACTATGGATGGACAGAAGACAAAAGTAGTTTATAAACAGAACACACGTTAATATTTTGACAAGATAAATTATGACAAAATACCTTCTGTTTGAGGATCAGCTAGAAACTTCCTAAGGCAGTCAACGAAGTTTGTTCCATTAAAGGGGTCTCCTCCTATACCCACACAAGTGGATTGTCCAAGGCCAACAGCAGTTGTTTGGAAAACCTGAATAGTTAAGAACAAATATATGGTTTATCCACCGGTAATAAAAGGAAATTCAATTTTCAAATGGTAGTAAATCCCAGGCACAATTATATTACTCAGTAATAGACAAGCATCACTTTTTTCATTATCTAAATCCTACACAATTAAAATTTGAAAAGATGTTTGAAAGGTTGGAATTTCTTCAAACTTGTCATAATGACAGTAAAATGTTCCAGAGAAAATAAGCAAGTTGCTTATTATGCCAAACACAGCTGAGGGAAATAATCAAGACATGAATTATAATAACATCACAAGTGGAACAAAAGATTCACAGAACGCAGTCAGTGAAAAGAAGAATAATAGACAGAAATTATTCTAGTACAATGGTTCTATATTTTTTATATGTCACCAACACATCATTATTCATCAGCACGGGTGCATCAATTTATAGTTTTTATTCTAATCATCATACATACAGCATAATCAACATCCCAAACTGTTGCAATAAAAGAAATACTCTCCCTGCATGAAAACAAATACTCACTGCTTCATACGTCAAGGTACCAGAACGAGAGACAATTCCTATGCGACCGGGCTTGTGAATATATCCTGGCATGATTCCAATTTTACATTCCCCAGGCTTGATAATACCAGGGCAGTTTGGTCCTATCAGACGAGTCTTGGACTGCCTGTTAAGTGCTGCCTTAACTCGCACCTGCAATAGAAAAAAATACCAACTACAGTCATTATACTCAACTCAGCAGCATTGATCCAAAAGTAAAGTACACAAGGCATTTCAAACTAGCCCATTGTTGGATCTGATTTGTCTAAAGCAAGCAACTCACATTAAAGGGTAAGGTATGTAATCTCAACATGTTCGAATAAACTTCTCCATGAAAACTCGAGAGAAAATAATATAAAACAAAAATGAAATAAACTTCTAAAAGACGAAATCAGTCTATGCATAAGTTAAAACCAGTTTCTAGAAAAACTAAAAT